AGATCACCTTTTTGTGATCCTATTATGCTACAGGTATTGAACTGCTTTAAAGCCACAAAGACCTAGGTTCAAACCCTGTCTTTGACACATAACTGATTGTGTGACTCTAGACAAATAGCTTAATCTCTCAGTACTCTCCAAGATTATGAATTGCAGAGGAAATACCAGTCTGCATCACTAGAGGGAGCTTTCTTTACTGGGCTCTTTCCTACACTAATGGAATCATTGATTCCTATTCCTTTCTCCACTGCTATGATATGTGATGTGATAGACCACCTGCTTCTCCACAGCCTCACCAATTTTCATGACTGCTATTTTAAACTTTTGGTTGGACAATTTGATGTGTTTAATATAGTACTTCAGAGTTGTTTTAATTCACATTTACGATTTTAAGACAGTTTAAATAACTTTAAATGACTAATGTATATTCCCACTTTTGAAAATTACATGTTCATATTTTGTGACCATTTATCCAATGTGAAATTACTGTTTTAATTTTTATCATCTTTATAGAACCAAGCTGTCAGATTTTTATCAGATAACTTTATTATAATAATTTCCAACATGTTTTTTTTTTAAATTTGGTTATATTTATTTTGCTGCACGACATCTTTTTTTCTCACATATATTAAATTCATTTATTCTGCCAGCAATTTTTATACATTTTATAGACAAAATGTTTTCTAACTCTCCACAAATGAAATAAAACTATTATTTTTCTTCCATTTTAATAATTTATTTTGCGCTCATGTTATTGTTATCAGAAGGAAATATTTTGAGTTGTGGCTCTAAATCCATTTTTTTCTGTCAAATGCCTATATAACTTTTACAAGAGTTTTTATTCCTTTCTCTGAAAGTTTTATAATCTTTAGTTGGTGAAACACTGATTTCCTATATCTATTTGGTGTATAGAGTACATGAGGAGGAGTAATGTGACATCAACCTAAGAAGACAGATTGGAATCAGATTGTGAAGGGCTTTAACTGCCAAAGAGGAGCATGTATTTTATTGCTGAGGCAATAGAAAACCACTGAGGCTTTGTGAGCAGGGGAGCAACATGGTCAGGGCCATGCTTTAGGATTATCAATTGGAAAACCATGGAGAGAATGGATTGAACATGGAAACCCTTGAGGAAGGAAGACCAATTAAGAGGTTATTATAATAGTCCCAATGAAAGGCGGTGAGGGTATAAGCTACAGTAATCACTATGAGTAGAGAGAAAGGGAAGATGGGGAGAGGTGTTGTGGGTTACAATCGACAGAACTTGGCAAATGATTGGCTATGTGGAGTGAAGGAGAATGAAGAGTGTAGGAGAGCCGCAGCTCCATGGTTGCAAACCTTGTAATGGTCTTGACAGAAATAGGGAAGGTTAAGAGAGGGGTGGGTTTAAGGGACCCACATTTAAAATTTTTATATATTTTATATTATACTATCAGCAGGTATTTCTATTTTTTCAGAAAAAAGTCTGTGAAATTTGATTTTTTATTGTATATAAATAAAATTTCTCTTTATATTATATATAGTCTATATGCATTTATAGATAAATTAGATATGTAATGTAGATGATATATAAGACATATAGATAATTGATATATAATATATGTGTCTATATGCATATATATAATATATAGATAATCTCTCTGTATATTACATATAGTGTATATATAATCTAGATAGATTGGATATGTAATATAGATAGATGAAATGTAAGACATATAGATAGTTTATATGTATGTGACTATTGTGTATATGTAGTATATAAATAAAATCAATGTATCACATATAATCTATGTATACATGTACATATATTACATATAATCTGTATATAGGTAGATAAGATATGTAATATGGACAGATGATATATAAAATATATAGGTAGCTTACATGCCTATGTGTGTATATATGTAGTATATAAATAAGAATACCTATATATTATATATAATCTATATACATATAGATAGATTAGATATATAATATAGATAGATTATATCTAAGATATATAGATAGCTTATACATGTGTCTATGTGTATATATGTAGCATATAAATAAAATAGCTCAATATAACATAGATTAGATGTATAACATAAATGATATGTAAGATATGTAGATTATATATGTGCATCTATGTGCACAGACACATATATATATATAATCTCTTATTCTAGTGGCTTTAAGAATTTTCTTTCTCATTGTAGTTCGTCATAGTTTGATGATGTACTGCAGTGAATTGAATTTTAAGTTTCTGTGAACTTCAGTGGTTAGAGTTTTGTGGATTGCATTTGTTTTTCAGTCAACAAGTATCTATTAAGTGTTTATTATATGTTAGGCACTGTGCCAAATGCTGGAGATACAAAGAAAGTAAAAGGAAAACAAAACAAAATAGTCCTTGCCTTCAAAGAGCTCATATTCTAATGGGTGAAGCAACATGAAAATAGTGGGGTGGACAACGAGATGCATACAGGTTAGATGAAAAAGATTCTCGAAGAGGAAGGCACTAGCAGGGAGGAGCTCTGAAAAGGCCTCCTGCAAAAGGTAAGATTTGAGTTGACTCTTGAAGAAAGTCAGAAAAGTGAGGTGGAGATGAAGAAGGAGTACATCCTAGCCATGAGGAAAAAGCAACACTAAAGCAGTGTTTTGTCTGAAGAACATCAAAGAGGCCACTGTAGCTGGTCATAGATGTAAGAAAAAGAAGAATGTATAAGGAAACTTGAAAGGTAGGAAGGGGCTAGGTTACGAAGGGTTTTAAATGCCAAGCAGAGGACATTGTGTTTAATCTTGGAGGTAATAGAGGCAATAAATTGCAAGTCATGTCATCATCTCCCTGATGTCATGATCCTCTTCTAGAATGAAGGACACACTACACACACAAAATAGAGTTTTATTCTAAGTAAATGGTCATGGACATACCTATACTTTAAGAAAAATAATTTTTGCAGTTAAGTGTAAGATGCGTATTTGTTATTTAGCTTTTATGATATTCTGGGAAATTTTCTTGAATAATTGAAATATAATCATTCAATTCTTTTCTATTTTACATTTTTCTAAACCTCATTAATTTGGTGCTGGCATGGTATAAAGCAGTGATTCTTAAACAGTGGATCATGACCCCATATGGAGTCGCAAAAATTTTGGCAACAGTGAAAGGTTTCTGAATATGTGACTACCAAAAATTAATTCAAAATCAAATGCATTATGAATCTGAAGTGTTTCTGGGAGCTCTTGCCCATGTTGCATAATGTAACTTCACTGAAGCCTTGGTTATGAACTCACAACATGCACACTTTGCACTGTGCATGCCCTCAGGCCACGCAATACAGATGAAACACTGCCGAAATGCAAAATCATGAGTGGAAAAAGTTTAAGAAGCCTTGGTATAGAGGAAAGATTGCTGGATTTGGAGTCAGAGGTCTTAGGTTTCAATTCCATCTCTGCCACTTATTACCTGTGTGATGTTGGGCACAATTTTTTTTCTTTTTTTAATTTTTCTTGGTTTTGTTTTTATTTTTTTTAGCTCTAGTTATGGGAGCCTAATTCCTTTTCTTTAATTTTATTGTCTTCTTAGCAGTCCTAAATTTCTTTTGAAATTACAACAGTCAAGAGAATATCCCAAACCTCAACTATAGGGCAGATGTGGAGAAATACTCTGGACAAGATGGTATCAATATGAAGTCAGGGTAAAACTGTGAAGCCACTGCCTAAAATGAGTAACCTGCTGTTAGCAGTCTCCATTTTGTTGCAGGACTATCAGATAACCTCTAGGACTTCTCCTTGCCTTCATCCAAGATAAAGATTCAGTGGAGACCTTGGGAATTACAGACTGTAGTGAACTATGATAGAAGTCAGGAATTGATAAACATATATTATCATTGTATACTGAAGCATAATCTGTTGGGGAAAAGTCAACATGGTTAATGCATGGGGAAGAGAAGGGAACAAGCATTTATAAAGCATCTATTATATGTCAAGCACTGTGCTAAACGCTTTACAGACCTCGTGAGATAGATGCTGTTATGATTTCCATTTTATCATTGAGGAAACTGAAGCAAACAGAATTTAAGTGACATACCCAGGGTCACACAGCTATTAAGAATCTGAGGCTGGATTTGAGCTCAGGCCTTCCTGACTCCAGGTCTAGTACTCTATGCATTGCACCATCCAGCTGAAAAAAATCTATGATTGTTCTTAGGAATTTGTAAGCATATTTCTAGGGAGAGCTCCTGAATATTATTTATTTGAACTTTTGAAAATGATTTGACAGGATTCTATGTGAAAGATAATAAAAAGAACTCCGAAGGAAATGACACTGATGTTTTGTTGAGGATGGGGAGATATCTTAACTGTAAATAGGAAATAGTAATTAGGATTTAACAGAGAGAACTGTTACCAGTAGTTGGAGGTTATAGAAAGATTTTTTTTTAGACTAGTTAAGACTGAATTTCCTAAAACTTCAACCTGTGTAAAAATTTAATGGGCTACCTTGGGGGTTGAAGGAGGTATTGAAATACTGATCCTTGGAAATGTGAAAAGATTAGACAGCTACCAGTTAGAAATACTAGAGGAAGTATCCTTGTGGGTTGTAAGAACATAGATTAGACGCCCTCTATGGTTCCAGACACATGCTAGCTCCTCAAAGGCTGTATGACAAACAAGCCTCCTTCTCCTTTCAAGATAAAAACATCTTTGGTGCTTCAACTGATGTTCTGATGGCATGGCTTAAGCCTTCTCAGAATCTTGGCCCATTTCTTGTGAATATGGTCCACAAGTTTACTAGAATCCTTCTGACTGATACCCCTAATAATTTCTGCCATAAATACAATTTATGTTACCCTGACCTCTGAGCCACTCTCCTTTAACCATACTTCCTTCTTCACCTTCTAATGAAATATTTATCGAAGAAATCTGGGATGGAAACAATTGCCTAGACCGTTCAGAATGAATGAATGAACCCCAACTTCCTCAGTGCAGAGAATCGAGGCTTTTTTTCCCCTTCCTCACTCTAGGTCATTCCCTGGAGGCAGCTTCCTTTAGAGAACCTCACCATGGTCACTGAGTTCTGGTTGCTGGGCTTTTCTGACCTTCAGGAAATGCAATTTGCTCTCTTTGCTGTCATTCTCTGCCTCTACATGGTCATACTGGGTGGAAACATCACCATTATCACCACAGTCCACCTAGAGAACAGCCTCCACACCCCCATGTATTTCTTCTTGGGCATTCTTTCTGCCTCTGAGACCTGCTACACCTTGGTCATCTTACCCAAGATGCTCCTCAACCTCCTATCTGTGCTCAGGACAATATCGTTCATCAGTTGTGCCACCCAAATGTTCTTCTTTCTTGGTTTTGCAATCACCAACTGCTTGTTGTTGGGTGTGATGGGTTATGACCGCTTCACTGCCATCTGTCACCCCCTGCGCTACCCAATTCTCATGAGCTGGTGGTTATGCAAGTTGATGGCAGCCACTTGTGGTGTGAGTGGCTTTCTGATTTCAATGGTGGGTACGTTTTTGGTCTTCAGCCTACCCTTCTGCAACTCCAACAGGGTCAATCACTACTTCTGTGACATTGCACCTGTTATTCATCTTGCCTGTGGGGACCCCTACATCAATGAGGTGATCATATTCATTGGTGGGGTTATGATACTCATGGTCCCCTTGACTTTCATCTGTATCATCTATGGCTTCATTGTCAGAACTATCTTAAGGATCCCATCAACTGAAGGGAAAAAGAAAGCTTTTTCTACCTGCGCTTCCCACCTCACAGTGGTTGTGGTCCACTATGGATGTGCATCTTTTGTCTACTTGAGGCCCTCATCCAGGTACACATCTGGCAAGGATCGGTTGGTGACAGTGACTTACACCATCATCACTCCCTTATTGAATCCTTTGGTTTACAGTCTCAGGAACAAGGATGTCCAGATGGCCATTCGGAAGGTGATAAGCTGGGGAGGATTTTCTCCTAAAAACATATAATTTAGATATTACAGAACTGTATACAAATATCCAAAAGCTACTGGTAATAGACTTAGCTCTGGTTTATGTGCTATTATAAGGTCTTGATGCTTTTCAAACCTGTGTAAAATTTTTTTGCCCTGACCTCCTACTGCAGTGAGGATAACATACTAGGGAAAAGTTCACCATGTATTTTCAGAGCTACTATGGGAAGAATTGTGTCCAACCGTCTAATCCTCCACTAGGCTCAGAAAGATTTTAGCATGGTCTTTTAAGAAGTGATTGTTACATTTTAGTTCTCCTGTGAAACATGTCATTGTGTCAATGGAGTGCAGTCTCAGGGCAAATATTATTTCAGCTATAATTGGAGTTATCTTTGAAAGGCATTCTCGTCATAACCTTAAGTGTTACTGGAAAACTGACCCTAGATATGTAGGAACGGTACCAACTACTGCTCAGACACCAGACACCTTGGGAGTAGATCTCTCTCTCTCTCTCTCTGTCTCTGTCTCTGTTTCTCTCTCTCTCTGTCTCTCTGCCTCTCTCTGTCTCTCTCTGTGTCTCTCTGTCTGTCTGTCTCTGTCTCTGTCTCTCTCTTTCTCTGCCTTCCCCAGTCAATCTAATCAATCTAACCAAGTCCAAGTTATCATATTTATTTAGTGTCAGTAAGACATAATGCTAAGCACTGGAGATTCAAATACAAAGCAAACAAACCAACAGACAAGCAAAAAGCATGGATCACATCTCTGAGGAACTTACATTCTTTTGGGACCACACATGTAAACAGATACACATATGCAAAATATTTGAAGAGAAGGGAAAGAGAATTAACAACTAGATCAATCAGCAATAAAACTAAAAAAATAAAGGCATAAACATAAGATGAAAGACTATAATCCTCATTTATTGAAAACAGGTGGTTTACTAAGAAAGCCTTAACTAAGAAATTTCAGTAAAATAGCAAGATTCAAAATAACCTCACAAAAATGAATGACATCTCTGTATATCTAGTAGGAAAGAATAGGAAAGGAAATTTCATTTAAAATAACAACAACAACAACAACAACAAAAGAATAAAATATCTGAGAGCCAATCTCAAAGGCACACTCAAGACCTGTACAGATGCAAGTACAAAACACTCTTCAATGAAATAAAGAATGATTCAAGTAAGCTGCATTGAGGGGAGAATTTTCAGTTCTCCTCAAAATGTAATAAAAATGATGATCCTACCTAAATTGATTCATAAGTTTTGTATTTTTCCAATCAAACTAAGAAGGGAATATTTAATAGAAATGGAAAATTATATAAAAATTCCTTTGGAGGAACTAAAGACCTAGAATCACAAGTGAACTAATAGAAGAAAAAAAGTAGGAATAAGGAAGAAATAACACTTCCAGAACACAAGCAAAACTATTTGGTCCACATTAAAAAATAGAAAAGCAGAAAAGACTAGATGAGGAAAAGTCAAAAGAAATTAATCTCAATAATCCAGTGTTCAGTAAATTATTTGGGGAAGAAGTGCCAATTTTACAAGAACTGTTGAGAAAACTGGACAGCAGTTCAGTATAAATTAGATTTAGACCCAGTTTATGCCATATGTCAGAATATACTAAAAATGGACATATGGCCTGAGTATTAAAGGTTATACCAATTAAAAAAAAAAGATCTTGAAGAGAACCAGATCAGAAGCCTTTCACATCTATATCTAGAAGAGAATTCTGAGCTTAATCAGGGATAAAAGTAATCACAAAAGATAAAATAGATAATCTTGATTGGCCAAAATTTTAATGTTTTTGAATAAACAAAATCAAAACTGTTGATTGAGGAAAAATCTTCATATAGAAGTTTGATATTGAATGTATATTGAGAACTAACTCAAACATAAAAGACCAAGAGTTAACCTCCAGAATAACCAAATGATATGAACAATCAGTTTCTAAAAGAACTATAAACTTTTAATAATCATATTAAGGAATACTCCAAATCACTAATAAAAAGAGAAATGAAAATCAAAATAATTTTGAAGGTTGACCTCATACACAGTAAACTGGCAAAGATGACAAAAGATACAAATAGTCAGTGCTAGAAGAGCTGTGAAAGGGTAGGTGAACCAAAGTATTGCTAGTAAAGCTTGAGAATTGATCCAACCACTCCGGAAGTTAATTTAGAATTATAGTGAAAAAAAAGTTACTGGAATATCCACATATTTTGACCTAGAGTTACCACTCCCAGGCATATAAGCCATGGTTAAAGATTGATAAGTCCAATATCTACCTTTTAGTAAAGCAAAGAACTAGGAACAAAGAAGCTATTTGTTCGGTGGAACTGTGGAATAAAGGTGGGCCAGTACTTCTAACCATACAGTAGAAGTAAGAATTCCAACCTTGGCATCAGACCAAGGCCAAGCCAACTGTTTTATAACTAATCCCAGAGTGGCTTCTTGAATTCTCAGGTTTAGTCTCCAGGCTCAGACCAGAACTGATGTCACTTTGAATTTACAGAGTCTTCTAGTTCCTTAACAAGAACCAGGATTGACAACCATGTACTGTATCTCCATTCAGAGGACAAATGTTCAGTTGTTTCACCTAGACCCAAATCTGGGTCTGGATCCTAGAAAGGGAACCGTTCAAAGGAAAGGCTATCAGACCATGCAGTTGATCAGAATGCCACTTGAAGACCATCCAGAGAAAACAGTGGAAAAAAGGAAGAAAGGAAAGAAGGAAGGAAAAAAAGAAAGAAGAAAAGAAAGGAAGAAAGAAAGGAAGGAAAGAAAAAATGAAACAAGCATTTATTAAACACCTACTTTGTATCTATGCACTGTGCTAAGCACTTTACAAATGTTATCTCATTTGAGCTTCATAACAATCATGGGAGGTGGGTGCTATTATTATCCATATGTTACAGTTGAGGAAACTGAGGTAGAAAGAGGCGAAATGACTTGCCCAGGATCCCATAGATAGTGAGTGTATGAGGGCACATTTGAACTCAGGTCTTCCTGCCTCCAGACTGAGTACTCTACTCACTGTGCCGCTTAGCTGCCTCTTTGAGTTAAGCAAAGATAAAATGTTTACATTCTAATGAGAGAAATGATAAAGTGTGCCCCCAGAACCCTAATATCATCAGGAATCATATGTGCAGTTAACTAAGACAGAGAACCTGGGAGTGGTTTTGTTATGTTTTGATAATCTTAGAAAAAGAAGGAAAAGAGAGGCAGAAAAGTGATATACTAGGGAAGAAAGATAAAGAAAGGGTGGGAGAATGAGTAGGATGCACAAGCGGAAGTCTACATAAATGAGGAAAGGGTTGGGAGGGCAGTGATACAGCTGTCTGTCTGTCTGTCTGTCTCTCTCTCTCACTTACACACACACACACACACACACACACACAATTTGATGCAGGAATATTTTCAACCCAATAGAGAAACAGAATTGTGAAAATATTAGATTTCATAGAACCCTAGTGATTATTGAATGGGAATGAAAAACAGTATACACATTTATCAGCTGTTACTGAGACTTTTACAAGAAGTAGTTATGTGTTAAAGCATAAAAACTTCATGAACAAATGCAGCAAAAGAGAAATATTAACCATATCCTTTACTAATGACAATGCAAAAAATATATTCAATAAAGATCCATTGAAGAAACAATGAAAATTAATAGGGACTAAATAAATTCTAAAGACCTGGTGAGTCAAAGAATGTCATGGAAACAAGAGAAAACTTCTTTAAAGATAATGACAACAATGAGAACATTCCAAAATTTTTGATATGCTGCCAAAGTCCTTAGGGCATGCAATTAAACAAAGAAACAAAACAAAATGACAAAAGTAACAAAAATGAGAAAATTAACAAATTAAAAAACCCAAACTAAAAACCAAAATTCTAATTCTGAAAATCAAAAAGATAATAATAAAAGTAAAAGCAAAAAATACCTTCTTGAATTAATAAATATGACTAGGTTTATTTTAAACCAACAAAACCCAAATTGTTGGCATCATAGATAAAGAAGAATTAATAATAATGAAGAAATGTGGAAAATATTAGAAACAATTTTGCCCTACCATATGTCAATAAAACTGACAACTTAGATGAAATGGATGAATATTTACAAAAATATAAAATGCGCAGATTAACAGAATAAAGAGAGAATTTCAAATAACCAAGTCTCAGAAATAGAAATTAAACAAGTCACAAATAGGTTACCAAATGGAAGGGGTGGAGTTGGGGGGAGAAAAAAATAACTTTGGGATCTGTTGTATTTATAAACAAATTTTATCAAAGATTCAAAAAACAATCCTAATATTATATAAACTCTTTCCAAAAATGTGAAAAAATGATCTTAAGAAATCCCATCTGTAATAAGAATATAATATTAATACCTAAGCCAGGGAATGTCAAAACAGAGAAAGAAAATTAAGGACTAATGTCATTAGTGAGTGGGGACACAAATATCTTAAATAAAATGACATCAAGAAAACTATAGCAAATTATCACAAAGCTTATATGCTACAGTCAGGTTGGACTTTTACTAGGAATACAAAACTAGTTCAGTATTAGAAATACTATAAACATAACATGCCACATTAATTACAATAAAATTTTAGATCACATGAATTTTTATAAGACCTACATGTACATACATACATTAGATACTATATGTGTGTATACAAATATATATACATACATATGTATTCAACTCATTATTAAAATCACAGAAATAAACCTAATTTTTCCTACACTGATTTCCAGGTTTCCTTAAAATTTTTGAGGATCAGTGACTCCTTATCCCAGTAACTAGGGGTTTCTATGTTTATCAAACAATAGACTACTAGATTTGTTTGATTCTGTATGTAAAGTAAAGTATGTAATGTTCCACAGATGTTGTTCAGTTGTTTTAGTCATGTCTGACTCTTTGTGGCAAAGATGCTGGAGTCATTTGCCATTTCCTTCTCCAACTCATTTTATGGATGAGGATACTGAGGCAAAGGGAGTTAAGTGTCCAGGGTCACACAACTAGTAAGTACCTGAAGTCAGATTTGAATGCAGGAAGATGAGTCTTCCTGACTTCAGATTGGCATTCTACTCACTGTGCCACATGGCTGCCCATCTTCCATAGACAGACCTCTCTAATCAATGTCAAATCAATTTTATGATTACTGTTCTTTGTAGCATATTTTTGAGATGTGGCACTGGTAGGCCCTTTTCCTTTCCACTTTTTTGCATTATTTCCCTTGAAAATTCTTGACTTTTTATTCCTCCAAATGAATTTCAATATTATTATTTATGGCTTTAAAAGTAATTCTTCAGTACTATATGAAGTGAGTTAATTTAGGTGGTACTACAATTTTTATGATGTTGACTCAAGCAACCCATGGATAATTAATATTCCATCATTGTATCCATATAGTTCTTATGTATTATTTGGTAGGAAGAATACCAAATGCTATATATATTCTATAGTGAATTGAAATGGAATTTCTCTTTCTTTTCTTGCTGGATTTTGTTGGTAATATACAGATGTATTTTATATCTTGACACTTTGCTAAAGTTATTCACTATTTCACCTAATTCTAGGTGACTCTAGGATTCTATAAGTAAACCATCACATCCTCTGCAAAAAGTGATAAGGTGCTTATTTGCCTGTGCTTATTCCTCCATTTTCTTTTTTCTTTTCTTATTATTATAGCCAGCATTTCTAACATTATGTCAGATAGTGTTGATGACAATGAAATTCTGGCTGGTTTAGACAGATGTTGTTTTTGTTATTCAGTCTTGTCTGACTCTTTGTGACCCCATTTGGAGTTTTCTTGGCAGAGATACTGGAGTGGTTTGCCATTTCCTTCTCTAGCTCATTTTACATATGAGGAACTGTGGCAAAGGGGGTTAAGTGACTTGCCCAGGGTCACATACCTAGTAAGTGTCTGAGGCCAGATTTGAACTTAGGAAGGTGTCTTCCTGATTTCAAGCCCAGCGCTCTATCCACTATGCTGCTACTTAGACAGATACTACTTATTATGTTACAGAAAGTTTCATTTATTCTTACGTATTAGGGTTTTCAACAGCAAAAAATTTACATGTATATATGTATATATGCTAGTCCAGCAAAATAAATTCCCACATTGTGTGTCCAAAAATTTACTTCTCTTTCTGCATTTTAAGTTCATTGCCTCTCTGACAATAGGTGAGTGCTATGTTTCATCTTCATCCTTTTAGACTCATGATTTCTATTAAGTTGATTACAGTTCTAAAGTTTTTCTCTATAATGTGGTTTTCATTTATAAATTGCTGTCCTATTTCTTCTCACAAATAAATTGCTCTCCTATTTCTGCTCACATCCCTCTGCATCAATTTATCCTAGTTCCATTTGAAATTGTTCCCTGGGATCCAATAATATTCCATTACATTCATATACCACAATTTGTTTAGCCATTCCCCACTAAGAAGACACCTCCTTAGTTTCCAGTTTCTGGTGACCATAAAAAAAGCTGCTTTAAGTATTTTTGTATATATACATCCTTTCCCTCTTTCTTTGATTTATTGTAGGGATAGGCCTAGTAGTAGAATAGCTGGGTCAAAGAGTATACACAGTTTAGTAACTTTTGAGGCATTGTTCCAAATTACTTTTGAGAATGGTTAAAATAATTCACAGCTCCACTATCAGTAGGCATATTTCCTACAGCCCCTCCAACATTTACCATTATTCTTTTTTGTCATCTTTGCTTGTCTGATAGTGTGAGGTGTGCTTTAATTTATATTTCTCTAATTATAAATGATTGGGAGCATTTTTTCCGTATCATTGTTGTTAGTTTGGATTTCTTCCTTTAAAAACTGCCTGGTCATATCCTTTGACCATTTTTTTCTGTTGGGGAATGGCTCTTGTTCTTAGAAATTTGAATTGGTTCCTTATGTATCTGAGAACTTTATCAGAGAAACTTGCTAGGAAGATTTTTCCCCAGTTACCTGTTTTCATTTCAGTTTTAATTACATTCAATTTGTGCAAAAACTTTAAAAATTATATATTCCAAAATGTCCATTTTAATGTCTGATCTTTTCTAAAGCATGTTTAGTCATGAACACTTCCTCTATCCATAGATTCAAAAGGTAATTTTTTTCCTTATTTCTCTAATTTCTTTAAAATGTAACTTTTTATATGTAGGTCATGTATCCAAATGGACACCTGGTATATAACATGTTGGTTTAAAACTGATTTATGCCATGAGGTTTTCCAAGACGTTTTTGTTAAATAGTGAGTCCTTGGCCAAATAATTGTGGTCTTTGGATTTATTGGATACCATGTTTGTTTGCTTTTATTCATTGAGTATGTAATCTGTTCTGCTTATTGATCTTTACTTTTTTTAACCAGTATCAAATAATTTTAATGTTTACTGCTTTGTTTGAAATCTGATGCTACAGATTCCCTTCCTTTCTACTTTATTATTGTCCCTGAGATTTTTGACCTTTCATTCCTCCAGGTGAATTTTATTATTTTTTCTAACTCCATAAAATATTACTTTGGTAGTTTGATTGGTACAGTACTAAATAAAATATATTATTTTAGGTGGTTATATCATTTTCATGACATTGGTTTGGCCTACCCATGAGCAAATAATTTGTTATATTTATTTCTGCAAAGAGTGTTTAATATTTGGATTTATATATTTCCTGCATGAATCATCATAGATACACTCCCCAAATATTTAACAACTTCTGTAACTATTTTGAATGGAATTTCTCTTTGTAACTTTTTTTGCTGGGTTTTATTGTTAACGTACAGGCATGTTGAGGATGTATATAGATCTGTTTTATATCCTGCATTGAAGTTATTGTTCCATGGAGTTGAAACCAGGCAGGGCTATCTATCTATGGTTTTGTAAACATACCATTATATTATTTTCTAAAAGCAATAATTTTTTCTTGTTTATGTATATTTCCCTAATTGCTTTATTTGCTTTTTTGCTATAGCTAGCATTTCTAATAATGCATTAAATAACAGTGGTAATAAAAAACATACTTGATCTTATTGGAAAGGCTTCAAGCTTTTTTCCTTTATATAAAATGTTTTCTCTCTTAGATTTAAATAGATATTATTTGCTATATTAATAAAAATTCCATTTATTCTTATGATCTCTAGAGTTTTTAATAGAAATAGGTGTTGGGTTTTGTCAACAACATTTTCAGCATTTATTGATATAATTATAGGTTTTTATTGTTTATAATCACATTATTGACATAAGGTATTATATTATAGTCTTCCTTATATTGAACCAAATTTGTATTCCTTGTATAAAACCAATATTATCATAGCATGTAAACTGACTAGTATTTTATTGTAACTTACTAGCTGAAATTTTATTAAATTTTTTTTGTATCAATGTTCACTAGGAATATTAGTCCGTAATTTTCCTTCTTGGCTTTGTCTCTATTTGGTTTAGTTATCAAGACCATGTTTGTATCATAAAAAGAGACTGGAAGAATACCTTCTTTTCTTCTTCTTCTTATTTTTTATTTTTAGGCAATTGGGGTTAAGTGACTTGCCCAGGGTCACCCAACTAGTAAGTGTCAAGTGTTTGGTTTGAGGTTGGATTTGAACTTAGGTCTTACTGACTTCAGGGCTGGTACTCTATCCACTGCGCCACCTAGGTCCCCCCCCCCCTTATTATTGAAAATAGTTTATATAGTACTGAAATTAATTGTTACTTGTATGTTTTATATAATTCACTTGTTAATGCGTCAGATACTAAAGTTTTTATTCTTTAGGAGTCTATTTGTGACTTGTTCAATTTACTTTTCTGATACATGGTTATTTAAATAATCTATTTCTTCTTTTGTTAATCTGGGTATTTTATTTTTTGTATGTATTCTATTTTTTTTCTAAAATATTAGTTTTGTTAGCATATTATTTGGGCAAAATGTTTTATGATGATTTATTTTCTTTTCAATTATAGTGACTTCTTGTTTTCTTTTTACTTTTTGTTAAATTTTGATTTTCCTCTCTTTTTT